CACCTGGCCATGCCGGGCCCAAGGAATAAGACAAAAATGTGTTGGTATTAAATAAAAACTATAGTTTATGCGACATTTCACATACAAAGAAACTCTTTCTAAATTAAGAAACACTAAAAAGGTCACCAAAATACTTATTATTGTACAGAATCTTAAATTACTATGTTTAGTCTTTAAGCAAGAAATTAAAGCCTTGAAAAATTATTACTACATAACAGACATGCGTTTTAGTGGAAGATATTGAATGATTGTAAAAACGTTTCAGTTTGCTTAGATAGAAACAGAAAATTGTTAGTTGTTGGTATTTGTTTTCCAATAATCAATCAATTAGATGCTGGGGAAATTAAACTCTTCAACTTTCTAAACATATTTTAAATTGCGTTTTTGGGTATTAGGAATGTGTATTAAAATGTGTCAAGTTGTACATTTTTATGTTCATTTAAAACTTATTTGTACATTTATAGCTTATTAACAATGCTCATGCATCTAATACAAATAACATCCTATAGTTCATGTTTTCAAATCTACGGAGAAACGTTGAACTTATTCTTCACTTATCAATGTGATTCAACTGTTAGAAAATGTAACGAGTAGCGCCCTCGTGGGCTTAATTGTTGGAGTTTCAATTAAAACTGCCCGTAACACCAAATTTATTTATTTGGAGGATTTTGTCGTGACGAGTGGAGCCACAAGTCGCTAACTCGAGGTAATTTACAGTAAGAATAAAGAAAAAGAGCCCCAGACCAACATTGAACAATTATAACAACATTTATTAATCATTTCTAGCTAACATCCAATATAGATCAAGAGTTCGTTAACCATTAAACACTTTTACAAATACTGTTAATCATTATACTCTTTGAGCGCCATTAACATAGGCTCTCCAGCATTACACATAGATACACTTCTTCTTAGTTTAACATAATATTTCTCTAAAGTTACTTACACTAACTGATTAAGAGAGAACCCATAACCTATCCTTCAAAAGAGTTGGACTGGTAAATTTACTGATGTTAGAAGCCTCCATAGCTCGAGAACTTCTGAACTTCTGGAGGAACTCTCTGAATCCTGGAGGAGCTCTCTGAGTCCTGGAGGAGCTGCCTGGATCCTGAAGAAGCTCTCTGAATCTTGGAGGAGCTCTTTGAGTCCTGGAGGAGCGCTCTGAATCTTGGAAGAGCTGTCTGGATCCTGGAGGAGCTGATTTTTCAGCTCTAGACACGGGTTTATAATAAACCATAATTTCTTAGTATCCTTTCGACCCTCCAAATAGCATCCAGCACTACCCGCAAGTAGTCCTGCCACTCTATTGGTTGCTTTAGAGGAATTCCCGGGCTGATCCAAACCCATAACCAAAACTCTCAAGTAATTGATTATTGTTTGGTTGAGTTAGCCAGTTGCCTATTTACTTGTACTGCTACACCCGTGTCCTGTAGGCTTTTGCTTAATTATAAGTGCTAGCGAGTTAGGAAAGTCGGTAATCCGACCTGTCTTAGGTGCTCGTGCACTTGTTGCTAGGTTATGCCTTTACGAAACTATAGCACTGACCTTGCTAACTCGAACTTCCTAGTTTCTGGTATTTTACAATACAGGCGTCTCTTTGGCGCTTCTTTTCTACATGTATATGTTTACTTAAACTTGAAAACCTGCTATAACTTTATTCTGAAACTCTTTTCAATTAACAAAATCCTGAAGCTATTGTAAAATTTCCTCAAAAATGTTCAATTGTTTCAAAAATATTTTCATATATGCAATGTGGTTCAACTGTTAGAAAATTGGTTCATACAATGCAATGACAATCTATTGAGATTGAGTACGGTATATTTAAAGAGCTTTGGAGCCTCAGAATGTCGTAAGATCCCATGTCACCACGTCCAGTCATGCTTTATCTGACGACAAAATGAACACATTTTACAGAAATAGAAACAACTTAATACTTCTTCCAGCAATGTTTATTTGATAAGAAATACAGAGAACGTAAGATAGAATTCAATGAGAAATACAGAAAACGTAAGATAGAGATTTGATAAGAAATACAGATAAAGTGATATAGGGTTTGATAAGAAACATAGTGAAAATAATATATGTATATATATAATTTGTAATAAATACAAAGCCAGAAAGATATATGGTTTTATAAGAATACGAAAAAAACGTAAGATATATGATTTGATGAGTAAAACAGAAAAGGTAAAGGTATATGATTTGGTAAGAAACATGAAGAATATAAAATACATGATTTTATAAGAAATGTAGATAAAGTAAAGTATATGATTTGGTAAGAAACATGAAGAATATAAAATACATGATTTTATAAGAAATGTAGATGAAGTAAGGTATATGATTTGGTAAGAAACATGAAGAATATAAAATACATGATTTTATAAGAAATGTAGATGAAGTAAGGTATATGATTTGGTAAGAAACATGTAGAATATAAAATACATGATTTTATAAGAAATGTAGATGAAGTAAGGTATATGATTTGGTAAGAAACACGAAGAACGTAAAATACATGATTTTATAAGAAATGCAGATAAAGTAAGATACATGATTAGATAAGAAACACGAAGAACGTAAAATACATGATTTTATAAGAAGTGCGGATAAAATAAGGTATATGACTTGATAAGAAACACAAAGAACGTAAAATACATGATTTTATAAGAAGTGCGGATAAAATAAGGTTTATGATTTGACAAGAAAAACGAAGAACGTAACGTACATGATTTTATAAGAAATTCAGATAAAATAAGGTTTATGATTTGACAAGAAAAACGAAGAACGTAACGTACATGATTTTATAAGAAATTCAGATAAAATAAGGTTTATGATTTGACAAGAAAAACGAAGAACGTAACGTACATGATTTTATAAGAAATTCAGATAAAATAAGGTTTATGATTTGACAAGAAAAACGAAGAACGTAACGTACATGATTTTATAAGAAATTCAGATAAAATAAGGTTTATGATTTGACAAGAAAAACGAAGAACGTAACGTACATGATTTGCCTTGTTTCATGAACACTTTCTACTGGCAAGTTAGATTTAGAAGGACGAAACATTAGACGTCGATACTTTTATGGTTTTGAAAATTCTTTGAATACTCGACAAATAACAAAATTACAAATTGAGCATTCACCCCAATTTTAAATAAACGTAAATTTATCAAACAAGGACCAACTTACCTATACGAGTAAATACAAATAAAAAAGGTAAAAATGTTTAATATAATCACAAATGTATATTATAGTTTTTCTGTGCGTAAGTGATCCATAAGGAAGGCTTTTTACAACAAAGAAACAAAAAGAACAAAATAAATACATCATATGTATCATTTTAAGTTCTTTAGTTATATGACACTACTCGTCCTTAGAATTTTTCTATAAATGTTTTTAATATAATATCAATGAAAATTAACACACTTAACACGTACCTATATATATATTCGTCACATTTATTAAATACTCACATCTCTAACAGTTTGTATCTACACTTATATCCTGTTCATTAGTTACGGTATAATAAAGTCACATTTATTAACTAGTCGCTTTTCTTTGTTAGAAAATAATTACAGTAACATTTAGCCTAAATTTCAGGTTTCAGTGCGCTTTCTAAAGATCTTGAGATGAGCTTTCTGAGGGAACCAATGATATTTTTATATATCTTATCCGAGACTGAAGGTTGATCCCCAGAAAAAATGAAAATAACTCAACAGAGGTACTGAATGACAATATAATAGTGTGTATTGTGTAACATTTACAGCAAGTGTGTAGTAACTCGGAGGCTTTTCGGTGGTTTCTTCTAGCGTAAAAAAAAATGATTTATATTTATTTTTATTTCTTATAGGTCTTACATATATTCTGTATTTTTCTTGAATTTTTCTGAATGTAATTTATTTTCATGGTTTATTTTTGAAAAAAGTGAAAAAATGTAACTATGTTTTATTATTGAAATACTTAGAGTTTATTTCTTGTTTGTTTAGATGGTTGTTGTAAAGCACAAAGCTACACAATGAGTTATATGTTCTCTGCCCACCACGGGTATCGAAACGAGATTTAGAGAATCATAAGCCGCTGAGCCACAGGGGGATTATATTTTTAAATGTTTTTAATTCCATACTCTTTCAGGCTACGTTAATATAGTTCTATATAACGCCGTATTTAATAAAACGCTGAGAATGAGAGGGGGTTAATTCTAATATCCCTCTCATGTGCACGGTGTTGGCTCATCTTATAACAATCTATGTTTTGTTTCTAATTATCTGTGATTACTTTTTTCTGTAAACAATTTTTCTGGTTGGAAAATATACATTTTTTGACAAATCCTTCACAATTGTGGGAAATTTGCGAAATCAAATCCAAGTAATTAAAATATTCAACATGAAAATTCTTATTTTATATCCATTGAATTTGAATAAGAAAATGAAGTAACATAATTAGAACCTAGATGAAGAACTTTCTTCTTCTTTGTGTGTATATGAACTTGTGAAAATGTATTGTATTTTAACATCCAGCTAGTTTACAAGACATTATTGAGAAAATAAGTGTTCAGTAAAGTCAGCTTCTCTTAACTTTATTTGTCAATTTAACT